GAGCTGAGCCTGGCTTTCTGCTTACTGTTCCAGTGATTTGGAATTGGGTCCACAGGTGTGAAATCACAGAATGGTAAACTTCAAAGAATTGAGTAACTTATCCAATAGATTGACCAGATTTTAACCTCTGCCCACAGTTTGTCATTTTTGACCATCACCTAAACTACTACTTTGGAAAAAAGTGCACAAACTAGCTATTTTGGAATTTCACTGCCATATACATATCTGAATTATCAAAACACAGAACAAAACATCAGTTTTTAGTAATAGGCTGATTTGTGTATTTTGAACAGAGACAATGTATATATTATTCATGTTTGGATATTTGCATGTTGTACTTGAAGTATACAATAAATTCTGCCCAATAAAATTCATACATTCACTCCTTACTTGAGAATTTGCATGTTTGCTTATTTTTTTGGAGGGTAGTGTTTAATCTCATAACAGATAGTGTCCCACAAAATTTTAACTTCATGCAAATGTGTCTTAGTGTTTTTTAAACTTAAATATTATTTTAAATAGAGAAATTTACTACAGCTCAACAAAATTATTCCATTTAAGCTTTTGTTATTAGTTAAATTTTATATCCTAGAATAATTGAAAATTATTGGACTTACTAATGGTCCTCTTAACCTCCTGTTCGAGTGCTGGGAAAGTCAAGCAAGAGACCTTGCCAGTTTTTTACATAAAATTTCACTTATAATCAAAGCAGTGGAGAATAAAAGTGATATTTAGATGTCAGTAATTTATTTATTAAGCTGAATTTGTTTTTATTATTTATGATTTTAATTTCAAAAAATTGTACATTCAGTCTGAGTTATTGTTTTTCTAATCTTACAGGATATCAAATTTCATATACAATTTTGTCATAACAAATTTGCTTATCTAGAGATTTTCAGTTATTGAATTCATAGATGACATTTTGTTCTGTTTAAATTTTTTTTATGTAATATTCTCATCTTTATATAACATATTATATTCAGGAATGTAAACTATTTGATGGTAATAGCCTTGAATGTGATCATTAAACAAACAGTTTTGATATAAAATTATTAATAGCTGAATTTGCCATGCATTATAATTACAATTATAAAGCATTAAATGCCAATAGCTGTTCATTAATTAATATTTTTACACACATTCAAAATTCTCTTATGCTTGATTTCGATGAATGGCAATTCAGAGTTTGCCATTCTGTGATTTCACACCTGTGAACCCAATTCCAATATGAAATACTTCATGTTTAACGAAATAATCTTTTACTAATAAACATTTACAAGGAAATAATTTTATTGTTATAATAAAAAATGAACAAATATTATATCATTGTGTCATAATAATTATAAATAATTTAGAAGATAATTTAAAATATAAAATAAATAAAAAAGCATTCATTCTTTACAGTAGTTCCACTGCTTTTATCACATGGCCCATACTTAAGTAAAAAAAAATGTTAAATTGGGAATATTTATGTTACTGATATTTTAAGTAATGCTTAGTTAAAATAGTGATAAACCTTTAGAATTGATATTATCTTATGTAAAGTATTATATGAAGGATGACTACATAGAATTTATATTAACAATTTCATAGAACTGATTAATATTTGTTTATTCAAAGAAACAAAATTGTGAGGATCCAGAGGCTGTTTTTATATGAATTTTTAACGATGTCAACAAAGAATTGACTTTATTATACCAAACTACGCAAAATTCTTTGTATAAATATTCTAACAAAATTTTCAAAATATGATCTCTGAAAAGTAATAAGTTAAAATTTTCTTCAAAACAAACTTTAATCATATATGAATTGATTCATTCTGTTGTGATATTGCTCTTTCTGTGCATGCCTGATACACATCATTTTAAAATTAAATTCCATGGATGTTCTACATATACATTCCAAAACAACAATTTTTTTTAAACCTCAGGCAGATTCAGTAGGAATCTGAAATGTTTGGAACAGTTTATTTTTCGTAGTCTACATTAGTCATATTTAAGGTTTTTGCAGTTTTAATTTGTTCTACATTATCTAGTTTCAGTTGAGTGGTGTTTTTTAAATTAATTCAAATTGTAAGTTTGTTTATTCTTTAATAAATCAGTTTTTTTTATTTATAAATTATAAATTTTTTCAAAAATAAATGAGTTTTATAGTATTTCTTTGAAAATAAAATTGTTTTTGTTAATAAAATTTATTTCTGAAGAAATATGGAATATTACCAATAAATTACACTAGAATTTAATATTGATACTATATCCAATGTCCTCTATACACACACAAATTTATTAGATTTTGTTTTGGATTATAACAAAATTTCTTCTTTGTATAAACAAAGAAAGCTTTTAAATTTTATGATGTTTAGAATTTATTGTGCATCTATATATATAATTGAGACGGGTTGATGATAATAATAAGTGCAGAGCCCAAACGGTTAGGAGTTGAAAGTTGAAATTTGGTACACAGTTAGGGTATGTCACGAAAATGCACACTAAGAAGGGATTTTACGAAATTCCTCCCCACGGAGGAGAGGGACAGGATTAAGGCTTAACACTTCCATCAACAATGGAAGTGTTAAGTAACAATGGAAGTGTCAACAATAAAATTGTTAAGAGAAAGCGACATGCAAGACGCAGATGAAGTTTTTTCGTTTTTGCGGGAAATCGAACATATTTTTAGAACCATCTAAAAATTCTCTAATTAGTCTGGAAACAAGGGGAGCGAATTCTTGCATTCTGTGAAAACGGGTAAGGTTGACTGTAATGTAATAACCTTAATCTTAGTTATCGTTACTTTTGCCCGAGCAATGCCGGGCCTACCTGCTAGTTTAGAATAAAAATACAATTGCTGAAATTATATAGGGAGGTGCAAATTATACAGGTGGGTACAGTTGTTATTATGGAAAAAAAAACAAACAGGGAGAAAATAGGATGAAAAAGCATTTATTTTTACAGTAGAGCCTCGATTATCCGACTCAATTGGGGACTGGGGTTGGTCGGATAATTGAAAAGTTGGATAACCGAAAAGTATGAAAAAATCTATTATTAGTGTAGTATATTATTATATCCCATGTAATTAGTATATTAGTATATTGCTATTAACCTACTTCGCGTTGAATTTTCATCGATGTTAAGCCTAACAAAAATTTTTTAAAATAATAATCGTCGATATTGTATCGTTAAAAATTAGAAAATTAAGCCTCGTTTAAATACTGGCTCCCTTTCATGGTCGAATGAGTGTTGCCAGCTAAAACACGTAAAAATAATATTGAAGTAGCCAAGACATAGCCAAATATTGTTGCGCCACATCACTAGCGAACATTTGAAATTTGTCGACTAGGATGGTCAGTTAATTGGGGGTCGGATAATCAAGGCTCTACTGTATGTACAAATTAAATCACAAATAAGGAACACAAACTAATAAAAGATAATAAAATTAAAGTAATGAACACCAAACATTTGTATTTCTGAGATTCTCAACTGTATACCTACTTTTGCACCCCCCATTTATAAATTATTCATAGCTCTATGAATTGCTATGAATGATTTAATATTTAATTTCAACAACTATATTTGTTTTGTATTAGTGTATTTGAATTAACTTTATTTGTACTTACAAGGACTTATATGAAGTTCTAATAACTGCTAATCTGATAATTAGATCAATTATAATAAAATAAAACAAGTTTTGATATAAAATATATACAATTCATTTTAAAATGTTTAGATCAGGGGTTGCCATACTTTTTTAACCGTCGACCCCCAATTACTTTCCAAAGCCTCACATTGACCCCCACCATAAAGTTTTATTACAAGTGTATATGTATGAACGAAAAAAAAAAAAAAAAACATTGTGGGTTGTGGTCTCTGTCTAAGCAAAAAAAAAGGGTTGTGACCCCTTAGCCACATCGACCCCTAGCCACATCAACCCCCAATGATGTTGCATCAACCCCTGGGGGTCCATATCGACCACTTTGGCGACCCTTGGTTTAGATCAACATAAAAAAATGAAAGTAGCAAAAATTTTCTTTGCTTTAATGAAATTAANATAAAAAAATGAAAGTGGCAAAAATTTTCTTTGCTTTAATGAAATTAAATACTTCACACTATGTAACAATTCTGATTATTTGAACATAAAATGAAATATTTAATTTGACTATATTCAAAGTTCTAAATCTGTTTCTCTATGTAAGACTAAAAAAATTTTTCTGCAGCCAAATATTCTACAAAATGCTTAAATCAATCATTAAAATAAATTTCAAAAATTAATACTGTATTTACTTGAATGTAAGCACTTTTTTCCAGGTTTTTGAATTTCTGAAAATAGAGTACATCTTAGATTTGATGTAATATGTCATAATTAGTTATTTCTAGTGCCATGCAACTTATTTCTCTATCACTGACCCATTGCATCATTTTAATGATTTTATTAGACCAATACTTGTAATACTAAATATTTAAAAGATCAACTTGATCTCATTAGCCTCTTACAGTAAAGTCATAACTACTTGGATAAAAACTGCAAAAAAATGTTCAGCATGCTCAAGAAATGCTGCATTTATAATGCTTCAAATAGCACTGAGGATGATTGTGTGTGTGGAGAGGTGTGGCATTGAATCAGTGTTGATTCACAAGAGCCTAACATGGAAAGTGAAGAGGTTTCCAACTTTGGTACAATGGAAGATAGCGATATACAACCTACTTTACTATATAATACTGAAAAAATTTATGTATAGATTCAGACAGATCTGACAAATTTGTCTCAAGATGTGTATTTTTTCAAAAGAAAAAAAAAATCCATGGGTGAGCATGTAGAAATTAATGTGTCTTAGATTTGATGGCATCTTATATTTGAGTAAATACAGTAATTTTGGTTATTTATTTTTTAAAATATTAGATGCAAAGTTTACAAAATTGATATATTAAAAATTATATTATTGATATTATCAATTATAAAAATTAAAGTTATGTTTAATATTAAAAATTAAGAAAATTAATATGTACTTTTTATGTGGCACTGGACTTCTTTCATGAGAATGTCCTTCCTTCCTTCCATCTCCAACTGGACATGTAACCATTATATAGGCTAAAATGAATAAAAATTTATGTTTCCTAATTATGAATACTTAACATTTTTAATGTGTTAATATTTGCTAACTGATATAATTTTTGAACTACATTCAAAATTTTACTGTATGAAGGAAATTCAAAAGAAATCTTGAAATTGATTTGAAGCATAAAGTAATCTGCTTCCAAGCTCATAATTGCAGGTACCAAAAGATAGATAAAGGAAACTGAAGGCAAAAAGAAAAAAAAGCAAATTTAAATAATAAATTTAATAGAATAAGTGAAAATATTTTAGAAAATACACTAAAAAATAAAATATAAATAATAAATTTAATGTTTTTATTACAATATATGAAATAATTCAATAAATAAGTTTTGGAGACTTAATGAACTCATAATTCTTTGAATAAATGGCACACTTTGAAAATGAACTATTATTTATATATTTGTACTCTTTAAAAAGATTAGCAGTTTGGAGTGATGATACCTGAATGACTAGAAAATATGCAATGACAATTTAATTATCTATGAAATTCCATCAGGAATGTAAATATTCTTTGTATCAAAAACATAAAATAAAGAAGAGATGGTCATTTCATTTTGAAAATAAAAGAGCTTGAATATTTATGATAGTCATTGCTTTTGTAAATTTTCCATATATTTTATTATATTTGTTGTGTTTGTAATGATAACACTTTCTCACATATCTTTAAATCTACTCAAAACCTAATTGAAAAATTCCACTATGTGATCAATGCACCCATCTAAATTGATTTAAAACAAATTTTATTTGTTCAATATAACAGAAGGAATTAGAAAGCAATGTTTTGAATAATGTAGCAGCACTTCATAAGCCTATACATTTTGTTTGTTTGTTTTTTTTAAATCAAACTAACAGTAATAACAAATGCCTGAATTGAAAAGAAAATTATGCATGAAAGAGGAAAATGATGACTATTTTAAAATTAAATGTTATAAATTTATGATGACTCCAAAAACCATTTATTGGATATCTTTCATAAATTGTTTTTTCAAAAGAAATTAAATAACTTAATATAATGATTTGCCCAAATATGTCAAATATAATACAATATATTAATGATACTACTATTTATATTTTATACAGAAGATATGAAAATATTGTAATTTAATAAGTGTGTAGTAAAATATTTTGATTATATACAGTGGGTGATTGGTTAATGAACATAATCTGTTCCAAGATGTTGTTCTATCCTAACTGTTTGTTAACCAATTATTGTTTTACCATAGATTTTTATGGGAATTTGATTAATTCATTTTGGAGACCCCAAAAAATAAATAAAAAATTATATACTTTCTTACTATGTTTATTTACATGTAATAAGAAACTGAAAGCAATCTCTCCATTTTTTCATAGATAACACATCTTTGTTTCTCAGATGTGATTTCCATTACTCCTTTAGCTGCTCGAGTCTTCTTGATTATATCTTTCTTAGCTAAGTTCCAGGCCAGTTCTTTTATTCCAGAAGGTTCTAAATTTATTTAATTTATAATTATTAATTTACTTAAGAGATGGCACCTAACGTCTACATCTAATGTCAAATTACTTTATACTAATAATTTATTTAGCCATATTATAGCCCGATATTAAGGCGATCGTTTGGTGGTTTATTTCTTAGCTAAGATTGTACCTACTGTAGTGTAGACCTGTTCAATCCATACTTCCTAGCACCATCAGACATCTGCCCACTCTCTACCTTGGCTATTACTTCTTGTTTGATTTTTATGTCTTGACACTCCACTTTTTAGGCTTCATAATATTATCAATGTATTTTTGAAATAAAAAGTTCAGAAAAGCATTCACAAAAATTCAGTGAACAGAAATCAACTAACGCACAAAAGAATTATGTAAATGTGAGGCCCAAATGAAATTTGAAATTTTGGTGTTAAACTGTTAAAATATATCTGATAGGATAGTTAAACTCTGACCTTTAGAAAATAAAAACTGATGCAAAACTTAATGAGTGCCCAACAATCTTGCAAAGACTATAAAAAATTATTTGTCAGAAAGGTAAACAAAAAGATGGAATTACAATGGAGAGTTTCCAAGTTCGGAGAGATAATATCTGATTGGTATCAGGTTGAGCATCTCCTGCACTCTAAAAGGTTTTGAATTGTTACCTGTAGACAAGGGAAAACCAATCGGTATTCGTTATTTTGTGTATGTTCTATGAAGTGTTCATTGTCTGAACATAAAAATCTTTCGCAAAAGTGTTTTGTTATCTGATTTGTTTGCTGTCCGAACTGTTCATTAACCAATCACCCAGTGTACATGAAAAATGTTTTTTTATACATCAGAAATGGTAAAATATTATATTAAAAAATAACATACACAAAATAATAAGCTAATATAGTAACATAGAATATTAATTTGTTAAAATAAATTACTACTATAACACATTATTAGTCTTACCTTTTTCAGTTTTTCTTCTTTTACGTTTATTGCATATTTTAACTGCACATACAGACAGAATACTTGCCACTATAAAGAAAACAGCTCCACCAACAACACCTGCTGTAATAGCTTTACTGCGACTAGTGGCTCCATGTTCAGCTGATTAAAGATAAATTATTCAAATATTAGTATTCTAAATAAATAGTTGAAATAATTTATCTTTACATTCCAATATAAAGTTTCTATTATTTATAAATTTTTCTATTTAAATTGTATATTTATTTATATATATATATAAAAATGAATGTATGTCTGTGTGCCTGTCCTTCATGCATTACCACACCATTTATCTGATTGCCATGAAACTTTGGGAAATTGTTTAATATACTCCCGTGAAGGTTTCTGGCATAGTACGATTGCCATGAAGCTTTGGGAAGTTTTTCAATACATTCCCGCGAAGGTTTCTGGCATAGTACATTTATCCTACGATAGATGGCGTGAGTTTATCACAAGCATTTCATCGTAAGATCAATTGATTTCAAATTGTGAAGACCATTTCCCCCTCCAAAAAATATCTCTATATATGCATTTGTGAACTGTTATTTAAGATATTTGTAATAATTTTTGTTTAATCACTTTATTTCAATTATTTTTTGCTAATTATGTATTCACTCGAACTTTGTTAAAATCTTAACTGTATCTCAAACAACAACCGAAGTTGTAGGAGGAAATTTGCCTATTTTACCTATGTAGGGATCTCCTCTTTTCCAAATTTTAATATCAACTCAAAATAATTTATAAAGACAAATTATAATAAAACGGTTTATTATCCAACTATCAGAAATTTCACAACATGCCAAGGAAGAGAGGAAGAAGCAATTATATAATTAAAATTATAAAGGATTAAAAAATATATATATAAAAATGGGAAATATTGCACTTCTGACAATCGCTGCAAGTGTGTGGGCTAAATTTGGAGAACCCGTGCTTCTTGCATGGACAACTGTACGTGGCCAGCTCACACGTCGGAAAACCTTCTGATTTATTTGTGTACGCACCAGATGGAAAAACAAAAAATATCATGTATCCACAAGCACGCCAATAAATAAACAGAATTGGAACAACACTTTGAAATGTTTTCCTGATGAAAATGAATAATAATAATAATAATAAGTTTCAATAAAAATGATAAAATGTAAATTGAATTTTATAATAATGAGTTTGCTTGAATTTCCTTTCTTCTGAGATCGCAGCAATACGTGACGGGTAAGCTAGTTAATGTATAATTTGTCATATAGAAAATATATTATTATTTAATATAATTACAATATTCAAAACTTACATTATATTATTAGGATTTAACAAGTAATGAATAATATGCGGTAATTTGTTAAACTGTACTAACTTGGCAGAAAAAATATTACTTCTTCACTAGGTGATCCGACAGACATTATTGAATATGAGAACACCCTAAAATAGTAAGAATATCCAGCTGGCAAACCTTTGGCTGAATGAAACAAAAGAAAGTTAAATATACTTAAAATTATAAATGTAATTAATATTATCACAATATTTTAAATTGAATTTAAAATATTTTACCAAGATATGAATTTTCATCTTTGACAGGTTCCCAACGTTTCCAAGGTCTGTCTTCTGTTTTATATTCCACATAATAAAATGCCACAGGTATTGACTTATTCATGGGAGGTAACCAGGAAATAAGAACTCCATGTGGAGTATTTGTGATAGTCACATTGCGAGGAGGCCAAGGTTTTGGACCTATGATAATTTTATAATTAAATTCTTAATACTAAAATATATGATATCAAATAGTGAATACTATAATAAATAATAAACTATTATTTACTTTACTATCAGGAAATAACGAATTAATACCTGCCTGCAATTATTATTATTATTAATTATAAAAAATTTAATTTATTGTATCTATTGAAAATATTAATATACAAGAAACTAAAATATTTCTTCATATTTTTATATAATTATTACCAAAATGTTGTTTATCATTTTGTTAAAATTTCATAAAGAATTAACATTAATGTAAACTCCATCTCTGCATCATATTTAAATTTCAAAATTTATTTTATTTGAAAGCACTGTAATTTAATACAATAAAAATACTTCAAATATTAAAAATTTTGAAGTATTTTATTGTATTTTTTTTATTGTATAGTAATCATTTATTTTATTTTATTTATTACTTTAACATACTAGGTTGTTCAATAAGTTTCGTCATTCCATAAGAGATGGCGCTAGTAGATTCATGGCTTTATTTCTCTAAAAATGGTACTACTTTTTTATGAACACATGTGAAGTTTCATGTAGATCTGTCAACTCATTCATATATTTACAGCTGTTCAAAGTTGACGTGTCACTGTATTTTTTTACAATGGAAAAAATTGAATATCATGTGTGTGACCGTAGGGTCAGTGTCTCGTTGACACCACGTCAGGAGACCTAAATCTGACACCACCGAGTCTCTGGGGGACTCGGAAATCGCGACGTTATGTCACGCGAGCGGTAGCGGTGAGCGATTGGATTCGGAGTAGAGGTGAGGAGAGAGACAAGGAAGTAACTTAATCGGATTCCATGGTTGCTAACAATTAACACTTTTAATGAAACTAAAGAAAATACAAAGAGAGTCAATTTCGGTCATAGTTCCCCTATTCAAGAGAGGCCTGTCGAGAGAGAGAGTTTACAAACGAATCGCAAGTTGATAAATACCTTGTCGATGGACTGTTCTTTCCACTAGTTCCGAATCTTGTCCATTCACTGGTGTGGAGGCATGGAGGAGTGTAGAGGCTTAATCAGGCACGAATTTTTTCTCTCGGGTTTAATCCTGGGTCACGATTTTAAATTCTAGAGGACGACTTTGTTGGACGGACTTTTGAAGATGACTCTCCTTTTGAGGGTTTTTGGTTTGTTTGTTGTAATTCCTCTTGGGTTTTTTCATTAGGTCAGGTGGTTGTTGTTAAGGGTCTGGTGTCCAATATGGATTCTCCATCGAAAGTTCCTGGTGACACATCCCTGACTAACTGGATCCGACTCAACAAGGAACAAACTCCGTGGGAAATAATTTTTATGGCTTTTAGCCTAACTCGATAAAACACTCGAATTTAACCGATTAAAGTTTCCAATGATTAAAATTTAAAATAACACTTTATTGAGGGTTGTTCGGCCCTCACATGTGCATTGATAAAATTCTTATTTTTGGAAGGTGTAGCACCAAAACAAATTTGTGAACGATTGTTAAAAGTGTATAAGGACTCTTCACCTTCAATTAAAACAGCAGAAAGACGGGTTGCTGAATTTAAATGAGGTCGTACAAGTCCTGCAGACGATCCACGTGAAGGATTTCTAAAAAGTGCATCAACACCAGAAATCGTAGCAAAAATACAGCATATGGTTTTGGTAGATTGTCGATTAACCGAGAGAGATTTAGTAGAAGCTCTACAGATCTCATTAGGCAGTGTTAGCAATATTTTGGCTGAAGTTTTAGGTTACAGAAAGCTATGTGCACAATGGGTGTCGCAATCGCTAACAATGGAACAAAAACACATGTGAATGCGACTTTCTCAGCAACATTTGGAGCATTTTAGAAAGGATAAAAAGGATTTTGTGCATTGTTTCATCACTATGGATGAGACTTGGGTCTACTACCATGATCCTGAATCAAAACAAGAGACTAAGGAGTGGTGTGAACCCGGTACTTCGGCTCCGAAGCGAGTTAGGGTGCAGAAATCAGCCAAGAAGGTGCTAGTATCAGTTTTTTGGGATGCAAAAGGAATTTTGTTCGTGGATTACCTCCGAACTGGTAAAACAATAAATTCAGATTATTATTGTAACCTTTTGGACCAGCTGCATGTAAAAATTCATGAGAAAAGATCTAATTTACAAAATAAAAAATAATTTTTTATCAAGACAATGCACCCTCTCACACAGCTCAAAAAACCATTGCAAAAATCAGTGAATTAAAGTACAGGTTGTTGCAACATCCACCCTGTTTGCCAGATTTAGCTCCTTCAAACTTCTGGTTGTTCTCATATCTCAAAAAATTCATGTGTGGGAAAAGATTTTCATCAAACAAAGAAATAATAGCAGCCAAGGAAGCATATTTTGACAGTCTTCCAGATTCTCACTTCGGGTATGGAATCCATAAATTAGAAGATCACTGGAACAAGTTTATTGAAGTTCAGGAAGATTATATTGAATAATAAAATTGTGTTTTTCTTATCGAACGACAAAATTTATTGAACAACCTAGTATTTGTAGACAAAAACTCTCTAAGATATCATGGAAAAATTCTAAAGTTAATTTGATAATTTAAAAATTCAAAATATAATATTAGATTTTTCAGTTAACTGTTTTACTTAACATTCCTTTTCATNAAATTTATTGAACAACCTAGTATTTGTAGACAAAAACTCTCTAAGATATCATGGAAAAATTCTAAAGTTAATTTGATAATTTAAAAATTCAAAATATAATATTAGATTTTTCAGTTAACTGTTTTACTTAACATTCCTTTTCATGAAATTATCCTATTCAACTCTCATAATCTGCAAATTTATTTCAAACATAAAGATACTAATATTAATTTAACTGACTTAAAAATTTACCATTAGCAATGAAAAATTGCTTAAAACTTTTAGATACATTACATTTCTTACAATTTGATTAATATATTCAGTGCCAGTCAGAGCTATATAAATTTATCTTATCGCCCAACTATTTTTATATGCTTAAATGGCTCATGTAAACAGGACATTTTTGTAGATTTAATGTTTTTTAACCCTTTGGACCTCATCCCACTTATTAAATTGAATAATATTATCATCTTCATGACTTTAATTAGAATATTTGAAGTTTCTGTAAGAATTATCAGATTCACTTGATCTGATCCAGATAAGCACAGTTAGCTTTATTGTACAGTACAAACCAATCTCACAGTCATGATTGGTGTATTAAATACATAAAGAACATTGAAGTTCATCATCTGAAAGTACTTTTTTTTAATTAGTGATAAATGAAATACAAATATCCCCCATATAACATGATAGTTAGGTTCAAAAAAAGTGCAATGTTATGTGAATCCATACTCTTGTCCTACTCAGTTTCCAGAATGTGTTTTTGAATTCTGCCACATGAGGGTGCATGTGCATGTCTAGGCACCCAGTAAGATACTGCTAGTTGTTAGTATAGGTCTGCAATTTTTAGTTTTTAATTGGCAACATCCCTCAAAACTAATTCAGGTAGATATTGTGCAGGGGTTGGCTGTCATAATAGCCAGAGAATAAATTAGAAAATACAAAGTTTATAGAAGAAACTACACAAAAATCTGAAAATTTTGCATAAGACTTAATTCTATGATATTCTGTGAATATTTTGGACTACTTTATGAATTAAACAACAATATAAATATTTCCCATAGACAATAATAGTGGATTATTAGTTAAATTTTAGAAGATAATTTTGCCAATTATCTCCTAGGAGAAAAATAGGATTTAAGATTTTTATTTAAATTAATTTAAGTTAATTTTTACTTTAAATTTTTATCAGTTTTAAAAGATATTTCCCCATGATGAATGTAGTATGTTATGTTAGAAAAAATTTATGTTGCTTCCTTTATGTTAGAAAAAATTTAAACTTGTATAAAAACAATTGAAAATACTTTCTTTATAATTTAAAATATAAAAAGCCTTGCAATTATAGGCCTTACAAAGCCTAACAAAATGGACATTATGAACAAATTTCTATTAGTAATTTCAAAATCAATTATATCCTCAATTCTATAGTTCTGCAGTTCCATAGTTCTTTCAGTGTCTTAATGGTGGCATGACAGTGACATTACAGTACAGGAAAATACACAAATCATCTCTGGAAACTTGTGGATCTGAAACAAAGGACTAGTACAAAACATAGGGTTAGGTTCCAAAAGTTAGCAAAAGTATACTGTTCTTTTTCAGAATTAATTAATTAAGAGAAATATGTTTATTAAAGCTATCAATGATTAATTAACAATCACAATCAGAAATATTGCACATTAATATTAATTTTTTCTGTACTAAACTCTTTTAAACAAGGATGTTTTCTTTTTGGCAAAATATCATCATCTTCTGAGCTTTCCTGTTGATCTTAATCTGAAATATATGTAACGTCTTGATTCTTCTCTACTTTTTTTCATAAAATCTAATACTTTCATTTGCTTGCATTTGCCTAAGAGATCTTTAGAGATTTAATCTTTTTATTAGTAATGTTTAATTTATTCTATAAAAACAAAACACAGTGAGAGTCTATCAGGTTCATTTAGAGCACTATTGCAAACAACAGCAACACCTAATTTATAGGAAAGTTAGAATGGAAAGCTAGGACAAGGAATAAAAAAACTGTACAATCAGTTCTCATTAAAGAAAGTAAAAGACATGAAACAACATTGAAATTTTCAATATTTTAAAATCTATGGGCAAATATAAGACAGCATGCATGCTTGCTTAATAATAAAAAATATTGAATTATGATGTTTACAGTTAAAAATTGTGACATTTTTTCCAATTCTCAAACCATATTACAGTGAACCATGGGATAACTGTAATTTAAATATGCAAGACAATAAATTTTTGTTATTATTCATCACAAAAACAAGCATGCGATATTAAAAAAAAATGCAAAACTTTCCTGCAAACAAATCACCTAACATGCTGAATAAGAATATTGTAGAAAACTTAATGCTTAATTAAAATATTGCAGGTATGTGCATAGTAATCTTTATAAGGTCTAATTTACAGTAACAAATAAGAATTTATTTTTCATTCATTTATAGTTTTTAAATGTTTTTTTGTCTACAAGACAATTTAATTCATAATCAATCAGTCCAAGATAAATAACAATTGTTCAAATATGAAAATAATTAATAAATTCAAAAAAATATCTTTGGCATAAATCTATGAAATACTTCATATTATTTAAATAGTTACAATCTATCAATAATGTTCTGAATAAACTGAATTATTTTTTTTGTTTTGTAATTTATATTTGTGCTTATATTGATTAACTGAAATTAACAAGTACTAATTATAAAATTTTTACAATGTTGTTTTAGATTTCATTATTTTATATCAAACAACAAAATTATGATTTTTATATAAAAAAAATGATTAATTTTGTTTTTAGAAATTTAAATTTAATTTATATAACAAACTTTAGTCTTTTAATCTTTAAATAAGGCTAAGTTTTAAACTATTAAAATATAAATAAGAGCCTTTTAAAATGAAATTTAGCATATAATGATAACATATTTTCTTAAAAATAGAAAAAATAATAATAATAAAGTTGTACATACTTTAATATTTATTCACAAAAATGTCTATTAATAACTGTCTGAAAATTTTTGATACATTTATATTTACTAACCTGCAGGTTTTTGTACAGTTGGAATATATGTTGCTCCATAAGCATCTGTTGGGTAAACACCACCTAAATAATCCCATTCTATTGAAATAGAAAGAAAAAAAATGCAAGTAAATTAAAAGCTGCAAATAAAGTTATTAATAATAAATATCATGAATTTAAAATTCATTTCATTAAATTATTTTTATTTTATCTTTTTATCTCATAATGTGTATAAACTATGAAAATTTTAATCAAATTTACTCAGAATAACAAAACTTATGTCAAATATAAAAATTGATTGTCTATAATTTTTATTTCATAATGGAATATGTGATAGTTTTAAGTTATAAATTATTATATTAAATACAGTAAGACCCTGCTTAATGATGATTCGATATAATGCCATCTGCTTGAAGCCTTAAAAAAAAGCTCAAAATTTACGCTGATTTAAATTATTACGGCATTTTATTGATTGTATATAATACGATTATTTAAAGGTGGCAAAAAGGTACTTTCTTTAAATCTATGTTTGTTTGGTGCAATTTTGGAAAAAATGTAACATCATGGATGCCATGGGCAATATTGACTTTGCTTGGCAAGAATTAACTGATAAATGCACGAATGAAGTGTGGAAGAAGTTACGGCTGAAGGTATCCAAGAATTCTCAATGAGAAGATTATTGTATCTTTATCATTGTATCTTTAGGTTGATCAAACTCAACCCAATTGATACAGCAGGACTAGGAGATGTAGACAAACAGGATATTGAGGTTTCTGATAAGTCTTATCAATGACGATCTTCAAGAACTGGCAAAACAAGGAATCCATGTAGAACTGGAAAACAGTAATTCTGAAAACAAAGAACCCGAAGAACTTGTTACAGATTTCCTTAGAAAAAGTTTGGTAACAATAATCAAAATTGTTGATCAAATTGTAGCAAATGATCCAGATTTTGAAAGGAATGCAAAAGCAAAACGAGGTGTTTTGGATGTGATTTCCTGCTACTGACATTTGCTTAAGGAAAGAAAAATGCGACAAATGAAACTTCAGGACTTTATTGCAAAAAACAAGAATTTCAGAAAAGTCAGGACCTTCATCACAAAAAATGAACTATTAATATAGAAAAAATGAACTAATTAATATACACACAGAAATGTATAATAATATATGTTTATGTGTTATTTAACATATATTATTATACAAATTAATATGAAAATAACTTAAAATTAAGTAAAATTTTTTAATTTTCGGTCACGTGTTCCCCTATCCCTATTTACTCTATGTTAAAACAACCTCGTTTAGCACTTTATTGTCTAGGAACGCATCCCCACGTTAAGCGGGGTCTTACTGTATTTATAAAATCTATATCAATATTTATATGAAATTTATGAAACAAATAAATTATTTTACTTAATGAATTTTTTATTTATGAAATCAATTTTAATTTATAATTAATATTTATCTTTCCAAAATGTTCCTCTATAGTTTATTTGAATTTACCTTTAGTTTTTGCCTTTACAATTGGACTGAACTGTCCATCTCCAAGAATATTCCGAGAAAGAATTTGAAAATCATATTCTGCATTGGATTGAAGATTATAAATTGTAAATGTAGTTACACCTTTTGGCTGAACATGAATTGTTCGCCAATCATTTTCATCCCTTTCTTTTAACCGATACCTTAAACAATTATTAAAATCCAAATAAAAATTAAATATTTAAAAAAGATATTTTTGTTCAAAATGATTTAAACTTATTTGAAGATGAAAATATTAAAATTGATATCAATTTTAACTTCATTACCAAATAACATAATTTTGTTCATAGCCACCATCATATGCTGGAAGCCAACTCAATGTTGCTGCAAAAGCACTAGTATTAACTGATAAATTAGTAGGTGCATGAGGAGTTGTGCCTAAAAATGAATAAATGAAAAATAATAATGCTTAAAAGTAAATACAGTATACAATAAATAGTTTATGCAAAAATTTATTACTTTCAATAAGAAGTAGACTACTTGTAACCAATGTTGCTATTTCATTTTCAAGAACACATTCATATGTTCCATGATCTTCTTTTCGCAAACCTCGAATTGTTAAATTGCCACCAATCACTTCTGTTCGATCACGAGGCAACTTTTTTGCATCTGCCTTCATTTTAAAACAAGTAATCATTGTTAATGATTAATAAATTAGTAACTAATAATTACTAAAATTTAAAAAAATATAACTTTATATTAAAAGAAAATTAGCATACTCTTCTCCAGCTGATAAGAGGTTTTGGTTGTCCAGTACCACTGCAGGGCATTGTTACTTCCATATTTACAGTTTTTTGATAAATAGGTTTTGGTTTTATTGTAAATACTGATGGTTCTATATAAATATTTAAATGATTAATATAATTTGCTTTATTTTTGTATGATTAAATTATGAAATGTAATTTTTAATTCATAGGCTTAAATTTAGCCTCAAATATCAGTAATTAGAAAAATAAATATTTTATTTACCTCGAACTAATATTTCCATTTCATTTGATGTACCAGCAGTTCCATGAATATTATAAGGTGTACATTGGTATCGTCCTTGGTATTCAATATTTACATGCTGAAAAAAGAGAGATCCATTGTTTAATGTTGATACTCCAGGTGTGGCATGTGGATCAAATGGCCTTTGATCTTTAGTCCATGTAATATGTTGAAATGGTGGACTAGCTTGAATATAGCATTTTACTATACCAGATAATCCCAATGGTAAATATTGAATAGTTGGTGAATATGTTACTCTTGCAGGATCTAACGTAAAATTTCATTAAATAAACTTATTGCAATGTTAAAATATTTTTGCTATATTTTTATCAATAAAAAAATTATTTTGAACTTACATTCTACATTAAGATATGCTGATGCACTGTTTGGATTACCAATACCATTTGAAACTTCACAAGTATATAATCCAGTATCTTCTGCTGAAGTTGGATTAATAAATAATGTGCCATCTCGTCGAATATTTGTGCGTGACTCTAGCCACGATAATTCAGATATGTCTATTCCATTATAATACCAATGGTGAGTAATGTTTGAAGGAAAAGCTTTAGCTTCACAGATTAATTCAACTCCATCTCCTTCTAATTTGGTAGCATTTCGAGGAGGTAACGTAATCACTGCAGAACCTAAATAAAAATTATGTTAAATACTATTTTATTGAATATTTTTCATTTATTTTTCACAATAATAAATAAATTTGCATAAATAAATATCAATAATGAATGCAAGTGGAAAATGAATGAAACATCTTCATATCTATTTAAATGTCTAATAATTAACTAAATCATTTAACAATTTATGTATTACAGGTACTTGTAAGTTACTTTTAATTAAAAATTATTAATTATTATAACTAACCAGGATTTAAAAAGACATAATATACAGCAGAACTGATTTTAGTGTAGTGTGTTTTTCTTTCAGACTTACTAAAATATTTAGATAGCATAACATAATATTGTTACTAAAAGACATTAGCATAGCAATTTTATGAAATATTTTATTATAATTTTATTGTACAAAATTGTAATAAAATATTTCAGATAAAATAAAACAATTTGTGCCTTTCAATTAGTTCAATAACTAAAATATTGAAATTACTGATAAGTTTTGTTATAATTTTTATGCTAATAACACCAAGAATTGCTCAATGTTGACATAATCTATTAGTTCATAACTATTAAGACAGTTATGTCAAGTTCAAGAAATTAAATGTTTTAATACAAGGGTTATTTTTTTTCAAATTCCACTGACTCAGAATAAAAAAACAAGAATGAAGAACAAACCATTTTATTTGTAGAAGGTAGTTACAGTCTTCATCTATTTTTCCACATAATTGCCTTGTCGATTCAGGCAGACATCATACCATGACACTAGCTTTTCTATACCCATGTTGAAGAATGTTGCTGCCAGGCCATTCAGCCAACCTTTAACATTGTCAGTCAGCAATATACAGTGTGAACCTTGAAATTTGAGTTAACTCCTCACTGAGCTCAGAAATCGTAAACCGACGCCTTTCTTGCACCAACTGATCCATTTTGTCCACCAAATCGTCAATCATCACACACTTCCTCCCTTGACTGCCCTCATCATGAACATTGTCATGTCCTTGTTTGAATTTCCTGCACCATTCACATACATATCCATAACTCATGAGGTTCTCACCATACACATTACACATCCTTTAATGAATTTCACCTCCATTCAGCCCCTTCAGCCTATAGACACTGAATTACTGCTCGTACTTCACAGTTGACAGGAGAATAGATTGGCAGTATCATGTTTACGTGTTTACTGAGAGTAGCAAATGTCTAAAATAGCTTGGCACAACACTAAGTTTAGGCAAGAGAACATACTACTCAGTAGATGTGTACCCTGTCCCTGTCTCACATGCTTCCAATTTTTTTTCATACATTAGTGGAGGTTAAAAAAAATAACCCTAGTATAATTTACATAATTTTTATACATAGGTCCCATGTAAAAAGTGTTACAAGCTAAAAATGTGAGAACAACTTGGCCAATACAAACTGTCTTTTTCATTTTTTGTAATTTTAAAGGAACTTTAATAATGATAAAATTATGTCACTGTATGCCTTCTTTCTTAGGTGAATAAGGAGAAATTTTGAAATGTAATCCTACAAAAAAAAAATGTATATACTTTGTTTTTGTATATGTTACCGCTAAAGTTCGGAAACTCGTTAATCTGCAGATTACCTAGCTAATCTGCAGATTAACTAGCGTGATCCGTTAAAGTTGCTAAAATTGTTCTATTTCTCAAATTACCTAGGTAATGTGCAGATTATCTAGGTAATCTGCAAATTACCTACTAGTCACTTGGTAAAGTGAAAATAAAATCTTTGCTGAAACAACAGCAACGTTTCTGTACGCTTAAATTAACATAATGTTCTTTATTTTATTTTCGATATCTAAAGAATCAAGTTAATACAATCAAACAATCGACAAATTAGTTGATAGAATCAATCATCAACCAATTAAAAAACATACAAAAAATCAAACGATTTAAAATATTAATACAATTAGGGAAATTATTATATAGATAACCACCTATGGAATTTCGGGACTTTGAGTATCTATCTGAACTGAGGGGACCGAGACGACTTCAACCATACCCTACTTTTCGACCGGAGACGAAAAATAATAAAGTTATCATACTTTTTCTGGTGATCGCATGATGTAATTGTGCAGTTAATGTTACCTTTGGTGAGTAAAATGGCGGCTCGTCTCTGATTCCAGCAAACAGAAGAGAGGAAACAGTGGGGACGCATGTTCTGTCCTAACCTAACCTATTTTAATAAATTACCATAATTATTACCAACCGAATTATTAGAATAGGTTAGGTTAGGTTTGAACGTGCGTCCCCACTGTTTCCTTTCTTTGCTGGAATCAGAGACAAGCCGCCATTTTACCCACCATAAGTAACATTATCCAATTGTGCAGTATAAAGATTGGTGAGACTTTGATTTTCATAGCAATTGGTTTCTGCAACAAGCACACCTATTTGTGGTACATTTATTTGTGGCAAAGATCTTATTTTCACTTTACCGAGTGCCTAGTAGGTAATGTGCAGATTACCAAGATACTCTGCACATTATCTAGGTAATTTGAGAAATGGAACAATTTTCACAACTTTAACGGATCACACTAGTTAATCTGCAGATTAGCTAGGTAATCTGCAGATTAACGAGTTTCGAGCTTTAGCGGTAACATATATATATGTCATATTGTTTTGCAGTCATAGTCATAGGGATCGAGTGTAGGGATGCGCGAAACAAAGATGGAGAAAAGAACACAACACATCTGTACACCTCAAAGTCCGCACTCTAACTTTATTTTTTCTAATTATTTTTCTCATTCCAAAAGGAACAATATTACAAAATTAACTTATATATACAGTATAGACAGAACAAAAATCAAAATATGTTATATATATATTTATTTATTTGGATTCTATGGAAAAAGACAAGAAAGTTTCATCCAATGCATTTTTCCATAACGTGTCTATTAAAACTTATGGACAATTAAAGCTTTATATTGATTCAAATTATTCAGTTCCCTCTGATTGTACAACTAAGTATAAAAGATGTACCATTAAATCTAAACAGAAAAGTAGTTTCAGCAAGATGGTGCTCCATGACATTTTTCAGTGTATATGTAAGCTATTAAACCAGGAATTTGATGACAGATGGATAGGTCATGAAGGAATTGTTGAATGGCCACCTCATTCATCTGATCTCAGATCTCTATGAGAAAAAGCAATATTTCTAAATCTACTATGAGAGAAGACATAAAACAGAACACAAAGCCCGTGCTAAAGTGACCACAAAAATGTTATACAGGATTAGATAGAACTTTATAAAAAAAAAATAAATATTTAAAATGTTCATTTTTAAATGAACAATCATCAATTTGAATGTTTAATAAAAACAAACAGACAAAACATTCATAACTGACAAATTGCATTCCTCTCAGTTATACTTGGTCAACAGTTTGAATAAACACAAAGCTTCAATTGACTGTAACTTAGTAGACACATGTCATAATCAATTTTTTTAGTAAATTTATAATGATTGATTGAGATTGCATAATGATATTGTTTGAAGATATAAATTGATTTAAAGAGCTTTGCATATAAAAATATCAGAATATTGAATCTGTAATTTTTACAAAGATTTAACAATCTAGTTTTATAAATATTAGTAGTTAAACATTTTCTTTGAAATTCACTAGGATATTTGCTATCATTATTAATTATACATGTTATAAAAAATGCTTTAGATCAAAGTTTCTTGGCTTTTCTTGTAGAATCTGAAAATGCATACTTTTCTGTAGAGTTTCACTTGAAATTTCAGCTTCCCCATCCCCTAAGAAAGAAGACAAGGAGTGCTTAATTTAATCATTGTGTATGAAGTTCCTTTGAAACCATAAAAAAGTTCACATTAAATTAATCAAGTTGTTATCAAGATATTAGCTTATAACACTTTATGTGGAACACCTGACACTATGGAACATTTTTAAAATTTTGTATAATAGAACATAAACGCTTCAGTTATTTGGTTTAAGTAAGTCTATATTATATTCAACCCAGTGTATGGGGAAATTAAGTAAAAATTTTGTTTGTTTAAATATTCTAATTTTAAAAATATTTATATGCTATTTAAAAAAATGAATAAATAATTTGGAAAGCAGTAAGTTAGAATAAAACTGACACACATTTTTAATTAAAATTTTGAATTATAATATCTGAAAGATAATTAGATGGCTGAGACTATAAAGTTGTCAGTGTGACACTGGGGTCTAGGCTTTAGTCTAGGTCAGAAACCTGAAGAATTTTTCATGGGAGAGTGTCCTAGATGTCAAAATCTCATCACTTAACAATACAATCACATCCATTGTTGACCTAGACAAACACATAACCAATGTGTTTTTAATTATATTCATCATAATCCTCTTAATGCCCTTAAAACACTAAAAAAATCTAAAAATTGAATTGTTCCAACAATTAAACCTGAATGACAATGTGCATATATTGTGTTTTCAGCATAAATAATTATTTTGCATGTTCAAGAAACAAAAATTAGTGATTCTATGTATTAATATGAAAAAAATATGTTTGGATGTTATATCTATCAGATTCAGAAAAATTTATAAACATATACACTAAATAAAACATAAATTTTTCCGTAAAATAAACTTTATTTCTGCAACAAGCACACCTATTTGTGGTACATTTATTTGTGGCAAAGATCTTATTTTCACTTTACCGAGTGCCTAGTAGGTAATGTGCGGATTACCTAGATACTCTGCACATTATCTAGGTAATTTGAGAAATGGAACAATTTTCACAACTTTAANATTTTCCAGTTTTTTTTTTATTGTGTAATGTCAATAAATATTTTACTTGATTATCATTGAGCTAATTAGTCTAATGGTAACTAAGTATAATTTCAGGCAGTTTTGACAATTAATTGAGTAATTAGGCTGATAGGTTCTTATATTTAAATAACTGCTGTATTTTATGTATAACATCCAGAATATATTTTATTTTTGAATAAACAAATATATATATATATATATATATATAATAAAATAAGTTTTAATTTTACCTGCAACAATAATTTTTGTATGAGCAGAAGCACTTCCCTCTATGTTATGTGCGGTACATAAATAATCTCCAATATCTGTTTGCTTTAGATTTGTAATACGAACTGTTGTATTTGTGACTTTAATATTGGCACTCTCATCTAATGGTAAATTATCCTTTAAAAAGAGAATATTGAAATATGTTACAATTATATATTGATAAATTATAAATTTAACTTTTTATAGTACTAAATAAAATAGAAAAATATTTATTTACAAAAATTTTTCTTGAATATTTCTTTGTATTATAACTAACATATTATACTAACATATAACTCAAGATATTTATCATTTTTTGCTTGCTGGACTTTCATTGTACTTGGTTGCCCTGTGTATGCTTGGTAAGAACTGTACAATAAATGCCAGTCATTTTATCATGAAACACTGACATAAAATATTTTTCCATTTCTGTCAAATTTGTTATATACAGGCTCATCTGCAAGATAATTTTTACAGAACTTGAATTTTAACCCTTCTTTATTATTTTTAGTACTTCAAGCTCCATTATCACATGTATTTAATTAGAATTGTTTCATACTAAACACAACTCTAACCTAAAATACATTTTGACAATGAAATTTCCTCACAATTTAAAAGAAATAAACAAAGAAATCTATACATGTACTTAGTTACAAACTATTTTCAGTTTAATTAAGTAACAATCTGCTTAACTAGAAAAAAAAATTACACAAAAATATAGTTCAAATATATATTTGAACTATAAGCTCGTATATTTGAACATAAGACTAGACAAGAAGCGTATCACATAAAAAAAATATAGTTATTTAACATTTTTCATATAAATTTCCATCTTCAAAATAAAATGTGTATTCTCAGGTTTTTCTTCAATGAACATTATAAAAGCTAATAGAAGTATTAGATAAAGTAATGTTTGTATGTTTGAAATTAACTATTGTTTCTTTATTAAAATTCTATCAATGATGATGTTCAGTTGTAATATATGTTATGACTTCCTATACAGTTTTATTTATTTTTTATCAGACTTTTCTATCAATTAAATTTATCATATTTAATTTTAGTTGTTATATTTCTATGTATGACTAATTTTTTTCATTTTATGTATCATTAGATACTTTTTAATTATTATTCTAGAATTTTTTTGCTTATTATTATTCTGATGTTTTTGTTTATAAACTTGTAGCAATAGATATAAAAGAATCTTAAAAGAACAAAATATATCAGTAATTAATTTTTATAGGAAACTAAAGCACTTTGATGCCTTTTTTATTTATTTTTACATTCTTATTTTTTCTGATAAATTTAAAAGAAAAAAAATAAATCAAGTCATAAAAACTATATAAATTTCTATAACTTTTCTCAGTATTTTGTAATTTAAATTTGAATAATGATTAAAACGAATGAATAACTCTTTAATCATGATAACTAGAATTATTACAAAAGCACATTAAAATATTTCTATTACAAATATAATCTGATGAATTCCAAATTAATTTCTTTTATTAGTAATTCTTTATAAGAATTTTACTTATAGACTATTTCATTCATTCTGTGAATTACTGTGGGTATTTCAAGACCATTCACATAGTATCTACAGTTAAATGTTTTTCAGTTAATGAAGCAAAATACAGAACTACTAACATACTTTTCTATGATGATCTATACACAATGTTTTGAGCAATATTAGTTACACAAAAAATTTCCAACTTACTTTGTACCAAAAAATTTTTGGTTGAGGAGTTCCTTCAGCTTCACACTGAAGTATAACTGACTGGCCTGTTTTTACATACAATACATCTGGTGGTTTTACAGTAAACCGAGGTGGTGCTAATAATAAAAATCTCTATCAATCAGTTCCACTAATTTAATACAAAAATGTGTAAAATATTAAATATTTTTACTTACCTTGTACTTTAAGATTAACCCAAGTACCATTTTTTGGAGAATCAGGAGGTCTGTTTAAAAAATATACTTTGCATTCATACCATCCTTGATCTGATTGTTGAACATTGCTGAGATTCAGAGAGGCTTGTCCTGAAAGTGAAACACGTCCGTCGTATCCTTTACCAGCATGAGGAGGATATCCATCATACCAAATGTAAATAGGAATTTTTATTCCCTGTTTTTGCCACTGAATAACATATGGTACAGGTATATCTTCAGGAAACTTAAAGGCACAGTGTAAAATAACATCTTCACCTAGTATTGCTGTAACATGTTCTGCATCTTCTAAAAAATAAGCTAAAAGATAATTAATCAAACAAAATATTTCAAACCAAATATATAAAATTAATCATTCAAAATTTTAATTATAAAATTCAGCAAATTAAGAATCTAAGTATCTAGAATTCATAAATTAATTCTGGATGTTTAAACTGATTTTTTCATATTAAAGTATTTATCAAATAAATTTTATTTTTGTATAAATCAAAACAAACATATTACTTTTCTTATAATAACATCTGTTTAATTAAGATTAATATCAAACTAATTGAGAAATTAATTCTGCCTCATAGCAAATTTAGATTATTTTTAAAAATTTGTAAACAAAAATAACAAAATTCTGTTTTTTTTTTTTTATTCTATTAAACTGTGTTGAAAAATATTTTGAAGTTTATCTACATAATTTATAATTAATAGCTATCTTCTCATCATCATAATTATAAATTCTCAGCATAAGTAAAGTTATCTTTACAGATTTTCATTATAAAATGTAATCGAATTATTTGAATTTTATATAAATCTTAAGGCATTAATTTAATTTAAGGAATTTTATATAAATCTTAATGTCTATATGATCAAATTTCTTGAATGCAAATCTCAAATTCTAAAAACTAATTGTGTGGACTAAATTTTTTTTCAAATAGCTTCAATTTAAGATTGGAAAAAGTTGGACTCTGCTCTACTAAATTCAAGATCTTGAAAACAAATTTTCTGTTTCATCCAATGATGATAAAGTTCTCAAGTTACAACCAATCAACTGTAGTCTAAAAATATGTGATTGGGTAATGGTAACCTGTTTGGAAATGGTAATGATTTCCACTTTTACCTTTTTTTGAGGACCAAGCGACACCAAGGAAAAGTCAAAGTAATCTTGAAGTAATTTTGATAATTTTATATAAAGTACTGTACAATGTAGATTTTTGAAGTTAAATTTCATTGATATACGGATACAGAAATATAATTTTTTAATTGCAACAATTCTAATAACTGTTGAGCATCAACAATTATTTTTTATGTGGAAGTATATTAAATTGGAAATAATGATGGATTGTTTCCAATTTGTATCATCTACAATATTTATTGAATGTAATATTCTACTATGTAGAAAAATCACTTGAATTCAAGAATTCATATGAAATCTTTAATATAATATTGAATCATTTGGACCAAATATTAATTCTAAGTTTCATTGAAATTAAGATTTGTATTCAAAAAATCTGATCATGTAAACATGTCTTTAGCTGATTTTCATCACTTTCTGCTATAAAAATGAGACTAAAAATTGTGTTATTTTTATCAACGTAAAGAATTATTTATAAATGACAATTCATTTATATCAATTATTATATTTAAGTGAATTGTAATAAGTTATGTTTTAACTATATTTAGTTATTATTTCTTAAAAAATAAAAAAAGTTTTAAAAACTTCTTATTTATGCAATCACGCTTAAAAGTAAATATAACGAGTAAGACAATCAAAATAGTCATTTTAAACCATGTACAGTACAGTACATACTTTACAGTACAGTACTGTAAAGTATGTACTGTACATGTACTTTATAATAAATATTCACATTTATAGAATTGTATTAAATTTCTTGACCATATTTTCAAAAAAAATCATTAATAATAAAGATTTTATATTTTAAATGATAGTGAAATTTAATTTTTAATCATGTTTTCTAGATCAAACTTATGCTATTTCATCAAAATAAAAATATACAGTAATGCAAACTTTTATATTAATCCATCTTTTATATGCAAAATAAATTATTATTTAAAACACACTAATAAGCTTGCTTCTTTATAGAATAATAAAATAGTGATAAATTACCAAAATATAAATCTATAAGAACATTTTTCTAAAGATGTAAATAAGAGAATGAAGATTGAATAATTGAATTGAAGATTGAAAATGAAGAAAATGAAGTAATGAATCATAAACTATTTGTTTATTTTGTCATTTTTTAATGACTTTCATTACTATATATAAATATATATTTTTGTGTACTTATGTGCAAATGCATCACATATCTATGTGATTTATGTTATTTGATTGTAACAAAAATTTAATTTTTAATACATTATACAAATTTTATAAATTTTGTAAATTTTACATCCTATTTTTTTAGTTTTTAATAATTTATATATGTATTTTATTGTATTTTTCCAAGTTTCTATTTTTATGGGCATATTAATTGCTTTGTAGAGGGTAGTAATCTTGTGCCATATAATATTACTTAGTGAGTGTAAATAAATTAGATAATAAACAAAACAGCATCATTATTGATTTAATTAAATTAATGTAATCTCTGGAGTACATTAATTTATTTATAATAAAACATCTTTCAGGGTTTGTGATTGATTTTTCTTTTTTTTATATAGATGAAGATCCTGAAGATGTATTATACACTGTATAATACATCTTCAGGAGCCAACCTAGCAATTATGCTACCCCAGGGCAAACTAGTTACTTGCCACCCCTTTTAAATACAGACATAGTGTAAAACATAAAACACCTGGTTCAACTTACACCTTTTGGGGAGGTCAAATAGTTTAGATTTTCTTCTCCCATTTTTGGCTTACAAACATGTTCATTATTTGTTTTTGCACCCTTTTTCAAACAAAGAAAGATAGACTATTTATATTATTTTATAAAATAATAAGTGAGGAGTCAAACCTCTCACATTTAATTACTTAATTATTTTCTAAAAGTAAAATAATTGATTATTTGAAATTAAGAATGTTTTGTTATTTTTATTTTCTTCTGCCAATTTTGCCACCTCTAGCAAACTGTCTTCCTGGGTGGCCACCCACCTTGCCCATCCTTGTATCAGCCTCTGTACATCTCTTATATTACTAAATATGGATCTATCAAGATTAAAAATGTTTGGATTATTTTGCATTTAGTTTCTTATAATTAACATTATTTTATTTCAGTCTTAGCTTTGTGAGAATTTTTGCAGAGTTATTAGGTATAAAGTTTAAAAAGAAAACAGAATAATATTATTTGTAAGTTTCATTTTAAAAAACTTTAGGTAATATTAATCTAAAATTCACATATATATATTTTTTTTAATTTTTAATTCTTTCCACCCTGTAAGTATAAGAGAACTTTTTCTATACAAATTGTGGGCTCAACAAGGCCTATAATGGGTGAGGGAAAACAGATCCTAGAACTATCCTAGAAAATGAAATTCTGGAGATTTTGGCACCTGATTTGATCCAGGGTCTGCCAGAGAGATAGACTGAAGCTTTAACTTCCTCAGTCATCCAGCTATATAATCAAATACTGTATTAATATTTCATAATAATGAAAATTACTTAACTATTATTTATTCAAATTATAATTAAGTATTGAAATAATTTCCTTTTTATCAATTTAATTTAAAATTAAAAGAATTGCTATCTAAAGAGTATTTTATTCTGAACACTTTAAAATGAAGATTTTCAAATGATTTTTTTTAATTTTTGCCAAATCAAGTGTATCAACTATACCAGTTTAAACGCTGTTTATCTAAATGAAAGAAATTGGAATACTACTTTACAATTATGTTATTGAAATGTATCGTACTTTTGTTTCAAGATATCAGAATCATTATATCAAAATTCCTCTATTCTGGCATAAAATAAATTAAAAACTTTAGGCTTGCTTATTAATGAATCCAAGAATTAATTAAATTTTAATAGTAATAACAAAAAGTTGAAATAATTTCCTAAAATATGTAGAAATTTACATTTATTTTTAATAAAAGTCATTTTCAAAGAACTGTACTATAATATCTTTAAAAAGCACTTGACATATAAAAGCAAAGCATATATTTTAAATCACATAAACTTGAAATATTACCATTAATCAAACTGTCACAATAATAAAATTTCATTAACTATTTAGCTTGTATAATTCAAAAATATTAAGAATACACTTGGAAATTAATATAATCTGTTATCAAACAAGCTCATTCAATGTTAAAAATTAAATGAATTAATAAATTTTGTTCTGGTATAATAATTTCATAAATATTTAAGTTAAATCTATATTAATAATTACTGTACGTAAAATATTTTTAAATTGAATTTCAAATGGCTTTGAAGGATAAAAGCAAAATAAGTAACTGAAGAAAAATTTCACAATGAAATATTTTATATAACAATATACATTTATTTCTTAAACAACAAAATCTTTTATTATTCTTTTTATAAGAAAAAATAATGAAAATACTATTTCAATTTTATATATCTATTTAATTTGCACAAATAAATTTTAAAATGTTTTCAATTTTATAATTTTTATGAGAATTAGTTATTCAAAGCATGAAATTTCAAAATATTTTATAAAATATTTTCTAATGTTTAAGAAAAAAAAAAATACAGCTAAATTAAGGCAACCAAAAACTTTTTATCAAATGAGAAACATTTTTGGAGTATTTTAGTTTTATTATTATTATCAAGGCTGGATTTACAAATATGTTAAATAAGCTAATATTATTTGCTCAGAAGTCTCAGGTCATAGGAGCCTCATTCTATCTTCAAAAAGAATTAATATCTATTATCCAATATTATTAGATGGAGAATGTAGACAGAGCCTCTTGTGTATCTCTGATTATTATTATAATAATTATTTTCCCTGTAATGTTTTTAAATTTTATTATCTCTGGAAATGCCACAAGACTGACTTTCAATTCCAAAATGTATGAGATGAAGGTGGATTGTAAAATAATCCAAAAATATTTCTTGCCTATTAAAAACTTTTAGCTGTACTTTTCTTTTTCTATACAACTTTAAGATGTGGTATCAAGTTTTAAAGATATTCATATTTTCTAATGCTTGATTTATATAAAATAAAAATATCAAAACAGCACAGTGTAGTTATTAATTTTAATTTAAAAATGTATTTCAGAAATTCTGATTATTACAAGTTAGGACAATTACATTCATAATAATACTGTTTTATTTAAGATATAATGATACAAAACTAGTTTCTTTCATCAGTCATTACACTACTATTTACAGTATGA